CCAAAGTGCTGGGATTACAGGCTTGAGCCACCGCACCCGGCCATGATTCAGTTTTTCTACCGGGAGACAGGCTTGCTTTACAGAACGGACCTCCTGAGGGTGTGGGCGTGACTGTGTGGGAGCATTTGTTTCCCTGTAAGGGGTGAGAACCAGGAGGAGATCCCAGGGCACCTGCACGGCACTGCTAGGACCGTGGACTCCTCCAACCCATGGCTTGTTTTAGGTCAGATATAAGCAAGCTCCACTGGGCAGTTAGCTGGGATGCCCACCCTCTTGCCTGAGACCAGGGAGAGGGGGGATTGGTGGCATCCCTGGAGCTTGGGGGTGGCCAGTCTCCTCACTGTGTGTGTTGCTGCAGGTCACCGGAATCCCCATGAACTGCTCTGTGAAACTGCAGCTGAGCCTCTACATGAAATCCATCAAAGGCATTGGGTAAGTGGGGACTGGCACTGGGGTTGCATAAGCTCATGAGGGGCTCAGCGCTCCGGTGGTCCCAGACTCTAGTGACGTACCCCAGAACCAGGGCATGGGGAAAGGAGAGGGTCCTGTTGGGGGTGGAATCCAGTCCCTGCAGATCTTTTCCTGAGGGTTCTTGGTTTTGAGCCAGGTCCTGACCTGCATCCTGATATTCCTTCCCCAGAACCCCACATTTCTTTCTTAACATTCACCCTCTCCCCACCAGTTAGCCAGAATCTTCAGTCCAAGCTGTCTCCTACTCAACAGAGTGGCAAAAATGAAAGCCTGGCAAAACCGAATGTTTGCAAATGGAAACTTACCAAACAGCATTCTTAAGTTTGACTACTCATTTTATAAGAATTTTTTGAGCACTGATTTCCTCTTTTTGATTTTTAAAATAAAACAGCTTTATGGAAATATAATTCACATACTCTAAAACTCACCCTTTTAAAATGCACAATTCAAAATTAAAAAATTAAAACAAACCTCCTCCCCCAAAATGGAATGCACAACTCAGTGATTTATGGTCTATTCACAGAATTGTGCATCTATTACCACAATCAATTTTGGAACGTTTTCATCACCCCTAAAAGAATCCACACATCCATTAACACTCACTCCCAATTCCCTCAGCCCCGGGCAGCCCCGCTCCTCTGCTTCCCGTCTCTGAGGACTTGCCTGTTCTGGGCATCTCATATACACAGAATCATACGCTCTCACATACACGGGATCATAGGCTATGTGGTCTTTTGCATCTGGCTTCTTTCATTTAGGATCGTGTTTTCAAGGTTCATGTTGAAGCATGGACCAGTACATTTCATGGCTGGATAATATTCCATTGTCTGGACAGACCACATTTATTTATCAGTTGATGGACGTTTGGGTTATTTCCACGCTTTGGCCATTATGGATAATGCAGCTGTCAATGTCCCTGTTGAAGCCCGGTGTGGACATCTGTTCCCATTTTCCTTAGGTGTGTGCCAAGGGATGGAATGGCTGGGTCCTATGTTAACACTTTGTTTAACCATTTAAGGAATGGCCAGACTTGTGCACAGCCTCTGCCCCGTTCCCATTCTTACCAGCAGCGCCCAGGCTTCCGCTTCCTCCCGCGTGTACCCACGCTCGCCGTAACATTAGCTCTGCTAGAACTTGTTGAGGTATTATGCTGGCTTGTTGCCATGTCAGTGTCTGGACTTTCTCGCATATTTGAAATAGTTTTGTTTTAAAAAAATTCTCTTGGAAAAATCCGTGGGTTGCAGGAATGTGAGCCTCTATTCAGCTTTGTCCAAGGCCTCTTGGCTGGAAAGAATCACACTTTGTCAGAGAATGGCAGGGAGTAATAACTGTCAGCTCATTCCTTCATCCTGCCCCTGCATTTTATTTTTGTATTTTGAGGCCACATCGGGGATTTGTTCTCGATGGATTTGTGGGTGGTGAAACAGCCCGAGGCACAGAAGAGGCGTTGGCAGCCCAAGTCTTCCCCTCTGGTTCCACCACATGGCACTGGGCTGCTAACTGGGATGCAACTGGGGCCAAGTGGGTGACCCAGATAGAAGAGGCCACCTGCGGCTGAGGACACAGCCCCTTCCCAGCACCCGCTGACGGTGGCCCCATGGAGATATGGGCTCAGTGTGGCCACGTCCTCTGCATTTTTCCAAAGGACCTCCAAATCTGGATTTGGAGGAGCTCTGTCAATTTTTATTTATTGGGAGGTAATTCACATTCTTTATTTGAGACAAAGTCTTGCTCTGTCACCCAGGCTGGAGTACAGTAGCACGATCTCGGCTCACTGCAACCTCTGTCTCCCGGGTTCCAGCGATTCTCCTGCCTCAGCCTCCTGAGTAGCTGGGATTACAGGTGCTCACCACACCCAGCTAATTTTTGTATTTTTAGTGGAGACGGGATTTCACCAAGTTGGCGAGGCTGTTCTCGAACTCCTGACCTCAGGTGATCTGCCTTCCAGAGTGCTGGGATTATAGGCATGAGCCACCGCGCCCGGCCTAATTCACATTCTTGACACACGATTCATGTGGGCAGCTGGATTGCGCTCTGCCAGTGACCTGTGCGCCGGCTGCTGTGGGCCACTCACTCCAGGGAAGTGGTCTCAACAGCGGATGTTGAGGGCCACGAGGGATGGCCGTGGGAAAAGCGTAGAGACACAGCTGCCAGGAAGCAGAGCTGTCTCGTGACCCGTTGGAGGAGCTTCTGTGCTCCTTGCTCACTAGATAAGGGCAGTGGGGTTGCGTGTCATTGCATACAATTCCCATTGGTTCTTACAGACTTTCAGAGGAAAGCAGCCAAAGTGGACGGCCCCACCCACTGTCTTTCCATCGTGGCTCGTCCTCTGTAGGCGATAGTGTGCGCCCACTTCACTGTGCAATACCCTGCAAACAAGGGGCTCGAGAGACCTCCAATAATTGTGATTGGGGGATCTGAGCCTTATTTTTTTTATTTTTTAAGACAGAATCTCTCTCTGTCGCCCAGGCTGCCGTGCAGTGGTGCAATTTTGGCTCACTGCAACCTCTGCCTCCTGGGTTCAAGCAATTCTCCTGCCTCAGCCTCCTGAGTAGCTGGGATTACAGGTGCCTGCCACCACACCCAGATAATTTTTGTATTTTTAATAGAGACGGGGTTTCACCATGTTTGCCAGGCTGGTCTCAAACTCCTGACCTCAGATGATCCACCTGCCTTGGCCTCCCAAAGTGCTGAGATTATAGGCGTGAACCACCGTGCCCGGCCTGTGACTGGGGGATTTGAGCCTTTTGTGCTGACTTTGGCCCCCGCCCCTGAGTGACTTCCATCTCCCCTCCCTACTGCTGTGCATGGTGAAGTGACAGAATATTTGTGTGTCCATTTCTTTACTGGGATTGAACAACAATAATAATAAATGTGTCAAGCGCTTTTACATGCTGGGTAGTTTTCTAAGCACGACACTCGTATCACTGGATCCTCCCGAGAGCCCTAGGAGGAGTTATATAATATATCTCCCTTACACAGGAAGAGACACAGAGAGACTCAGTAGCATGCCTAAGGTCACAGAGCTCGCAAGTGGCTGTGTCAGGGGTCCCCGAGGCCACCGCAGGCTGGATGATTTGCTGGGAAGCCTCAGGACACAGCATGCGGCTGTACACGTGGCTGGGATTTATTACAGTCAACGGATTCAAAGCAGATCAGCAAAGGGAAAAGCCACAGGAGGCCAAGTCCAGAGGAAAGCAGGCGCCGGCTTCCAGAGCCGTCTCCCGAGGAGTTGCCCAATTCCTGCTGCAGGCAGTTGTGACAACCCACGTGACATGTCATCTGCCAGAGAAGCCTGTTAGAGAGACTCAGCGCCCAGGGTTTTTACTGGGGGCTGGTCACGTGGCCACCCTCTGCCTGGCAGGTATGGAAATTCCAGACCCTTAGAAGGCCAGCTGGTGTTCGGTATCAACCACGTGACTTGCATGGATTGCTCAGGCACGGTGAGCCGTCCTTGTCAGTCAGGGAGCAGTGGGAACCCTCCGGAATCCTAGCTCCCAGAGGCCAGCCCCGGGCCAGCCTTGCCAGCAGACCGTGTGAGGAGGGAGGGCTCGGGCCCGCCACGTACACGTCCCTGCACAGCGGCCCAGGTGGGATTCGAACCCAGGCAGGGAGCTCGAGTGTGCTCTATTAACCACCTCGCCACACTGCCTTTTCTGCTAGACACCTGCTGTGTGTGGGGGTCCGCGCGGGGGAAGCGGTGAGCCAGCCCACCCTGCTGCTTGGTACCGGGTGTGAGTTGCTGTATTCACTTCCTGTTGTTGCTGTCACAAATTCGCCACAAATGTCGTGGCTCACTTTTAAAGACTGTCTGACAGTGCTGGAGGTCTGAAGTCCAAAGGGGTCCAGCAGGGCTAAGATCAAGCTGTCGGCAGGCCTTGTTCCTTCCGCAGGCTCGGAGGGGACCTGTGCCTGCTGTTTTCAGCTTCTAGAAGCTGCCTACTACCATCCTTAGCGCATGACCTTCGTCCTAACCCTCCCTGTTTTTCCTTTTTGTTTGTTTATTGTTGTTGAGACAGAGTCTCGCTCTGCTGTCTGGACTGGAGTGCAGTGGCGCGATCCATCGTTCACTGCAGCCTCAACCTCCCGGGCTTGGGTGATTCTCCCACTCAGCCTCCTGACTAGCTGGGACTACAGGCCCGTACCACCACAACCTGCCAATTTTGTGTGTGTGTGTGTGTGTGTGTAGAGATGGGGTCTCACTATGGTGTCTGGGCTGGTCTTGAACTCCTGGGCTCAAGTGATCCTCCCACCTTAGCCTCCCAAAGTGCTGGGATTCCAGATGCGAGTCACAGCGCCCGGCCTCTCCCTGTTCAAAGTCAGCAACGTAGTGTTGCTCCAGTTTCTCCCTGCCTCTTACCTTCTGCTTCCCTCTTTTTAAAAATTTAGTTTTTTGGCTGGGGGTAGTGGCTCACACCTGTAATCCTCGAACTTCGAAAGGCCAAGGTGGGTGATCACAAGGTCAGGAGTTCGAGAACATCCTTGCTAACATGGTGAAACCCCATCTCTACTAAAAAAAAAAAAATAGCCAGGCGTGGTGGCATGCACCTATAATCCCAGCTACTCAGGAGGCTGAGGCAGGAGAATTGCTTGAACCCAAGAGGCAGAAGTTGGAGTGAGCTGAGATCGTGCCACTGCACTCCAGCTTGGGTGACAGAGCGAGATTCCATCTAAAAAAAACAAATTAGTGTGTGTGCGTGTTTTTAGGGTTTTTAAAATTTGTTTTTGTTTTTTTCATTTCTCTCTCTTGCCTGATTGCTCTGGCTAGGACTTTCATCTTCTCTTAAGGACTCTTGAGATATTCCAGGACACTCTCCCCATCTCAGAGCCTTGTAGTCACGTCTGCAAGGTCCCCTTCACCGTGGCAGGTCACGGTTCCCACACTCCGCCGTGGCAGGTCACGGTTCCCACACTCCGCTGTGGCAGGTCAGAGCTTCCCAGGTGTCGCATTGGTCTTCCAGTCTCCTTAGGCACCTCTCGGCTGTGATAGTCTCTCATTGCTCCTTGTTTTTGATGATAATGACGCTTTTGAGAACCCTGTCAGGTATTTTGCAGGATGCTCCCTCCAATGGGATTGTCTGGTGCCTTTCTCATATCAGCCTGTGGTGATGGGTTTTGGGGGAGGACGAGCACAGAGAGAAAGTTCCAGTTTCATAGCGTCTAGGGTGCCTTCTGTCAGCACACGGCGTCACTGTTGATATCGACCTCACTTGCCTGGACGAAGTCGTGTCTGTGACGTTTCTCCAGTGTCCAGTTAATTTTTTTCTCCCTTTGGATTTTATTGTCTTTTTAACTTGACATGTAAGTTTTAATTTCACGGGTAATATGAACATATCTTCTCGAGGGGAAAAATAGAGTTTCCCGTGACTTCCCCACTGTCCCCAGTCATAGCCACCATCGTGAATTTGCCGCGCTTCCTTCGGGCCTTTTCCTGCTTATTTACATTCACATATATGTTGCCATGGAGAAGATGTATGTTGTTGTTTGTTTGTTTGTTTGTTTTTGCTAGTCCAGGCAACACCGGACATCTTTGTGCCTCTTTGCACATGCGTGAGCATCTCTAGGGCGGTTTCTGAAAAGCGTAATTGCTAGGTCCTCAGGAATATTGGTGGAATTAGGCTGGCAATATAGATCAGAAAACTCAGCAGCTGTGGCTCAGATGGGACAAAGGTATTTTGTTATTTCAAAAATCTTCTTTTAGAGGATGTCTGAAGGCAGACAGTCCAAGTATGGCAGCTTCCAAGAGATATTCATGGTCCAAGTTTCACTAATCTTTCTGTTCCATTTCCCAGCCCATGGCTTCCATCCTCAAGGTCACCTCTGGTCCCAGTGGCTACAGAGCTCCAGCCCTTGCATCTGCATTCCAGGCATCTGAAAGGGAGGAGGGAAAAAAGGTTCACCTCCCAGCTGTGAAAGCTTCTTTTTAAGCAGCCTTCCCAGCCATCCCACATAACACTTCTGCAAACATCTCATTAACCAGAACTTGGTCACAGAGCCTCGCTTGCCACAAGAGAGGCTGAAATGGGGTCTTCAGCTGGGTGAATTGCCATCCTGAGTAAAACTTGGGTTCTGTTTCTGAAAGGGATCAATGGATTTTGGCTGGGTCACTGGTGGTCTCTGCCCTGTAGGAGATGTGAGTTTTTAATTTAAAAAGATTATTATCAAATTGTGAAGCTCTTTGCCAGAGGAGATTCCTTCCAGCAGCCCATCAAAACACTGGTTCCGTAAGTCCACAGCAGTCGAGTGGCATGGCTTTTCATCCTCGGGGGTATATGCCACAACCCCCAGTGGATGCCTGAAACTGGGGTAGTGCTGAACCCTACGCAGCATGTACTGTGCTTCTTCCTACACATACACATCTATGATAAAGCTAATTTGTGGCCGGCCGTGGTGGCTCATGCCTGTAATCCCAGCACTTTGAGAGGCTGAGGAGGGTGGAACTCCTCAGGTCAGGAGTTCGCCACTAGCCTGGCCAACATGGTGAAACCTCGTCTCTATTAAAATACAAAAAATTAGCCGGTTGTGGTGGCAGGTGCCTGTAATCCCAGCTACGCGGGTGGCTGAGGCAGGAGAATTGCTTGAACCCAGGAGGCGGAGGTTGCCAACAACACACCATTGCACTCCAGCCTGGGAATAAGAACGAAACTCCATCTCAAAAAAAAAAAAAAAGTTAATTTGTAAATTAGGCATAGTAGCAATTAACAATAACTAAGAATTGGGTAATTATAACAATATACTATAATAACAGTTATGTGATTGTGGCCTCAAAATATCTTAATTGTACTGTACTGAGCATAAGAAATGGCAGAAATCAAAACCATGGATAAGGAGGGATGACTGAGGTTGCAGAATCAAGTCCCTTCTGGCCCCAGAGCCTGTGCTCACAGGTTCAAAGCTGTGTGATGTCAAACAGCCCTATGACAAAACATCTCACCTGATCACAAGGTCAAGACCTGGAGACCAGCCTGACCAACATGGTGAAACCCTGTCTCTAAAAACAAAAAAACAAAAATTAGCTGGGGGCGATGACACGCACCTGTAATTCCAGCTACTCCGGAGGCTGAGGCAGGAAAATCACTTGAACCTGGAAAGCAGAGGTTGCAGTGAGCTGAGATCGCGCCACTGTACTCCAGCCTGAGTGACAGGGTGATACTCTGTCTCAAAAAAAAAAAAAAAAAAAAAAAGAAAGAAAGAAAAAGAAAAAAAATACATCTTTTAAAGAATTGAAGTTAGTCTTATTTCGTAGTAGCATTGAGGGCTGTAGACAGACCTACAGCATGGGGACGGTTTTGTCACGTGGCTCCTAAAGTGTATGTATTTGGTGGTGGGGGTTTAGTGCGTGCAAAATCCTACTAAACCTGTTCAGAGGTTGTAGTCAAGCAGAATTATATCAAGGTTAGGGTGGAAGACTTTGTCTCACACTTCTATGTCTTGCTTATTTCCAGACAAACTGGGAATATTGAGCCTGTGGTCCTGCCGCTGCTCTGGTTTGCAGAGGTAAGGGTGTGTTGGGCACCGTGTCAGGGGCTTTTCTTAGGAGCCAATCTGGGCATTTGAGGTGGGGGCGGGGAGCAGCTTGCAGAGAGGGAGAGGGCTGAGGCAGGGTAACCGGACTGCGGCACGGACCGGCCTATCAGAAACTTCACACTGTCCATGCGCCCTATGTCAGTTGTCCCACGGAGTTGAAAGGGATCCCTTGAGATGGGGAAGACAGAAGCTCAGGAAGCGGTCAAGTCCCTGGCTCTGGGTGTAAAATGATTTTGTTGAGGCATGTGACCTCCTCTCCTGAGAGAAAGGGACTTGGTTTCCAAGGTGTCAGCTTTTCACTTAGACTTACTTCTCTCCCAGCTTTTCAGAATTCCTTCTGGCCTAGTCTATTATTTTATTTTCTGTATTGTTTCTTGCTCATCTCATTTTAAATCAGGGTGAGCTAACGGCCAGGATAGACAAGCCTCCGAATGTCGAGTTCACTTCCTGCTCACAGCCCAATCTGAAGGGGATTGACTGGGAGGCAGAACTCTGTTCCCTGCAGTAATTCAGGGCTCCAGGACCCTTTCCATCTGGTGGCCCTGCCCTCCTTTGATAGTCCATTCAGTGGCGGGGAAAGAGGTGGAGAGTCACGTGAGGCCAGGCCCACCTCCCATTGGTCAGGATAGGATCACATGGCCCTGCCCAACTGCAAGGGAGTCTGGGAATTGTAGTCTTACCTTGTGTCCTGGAGGGAGGAGGTCCCTGGCAGGCTCCAACACAGGCTTTAGCTGGGTAGCTTGAAATGGGGAAGGGCTGAGGTGGGCACAGAGGAAGGTGTTGGGTGGCATTTGTGCTGTAGCCCACAGCCTGCGGCCCCAGATCATGTGTTTGTCATTCTGCCTTCTCAGAGCGGGGCCATGGAAGGGGACACACTGCACACGTTCTACACCCAGCTGGTGTTGGTGCCCAAGGTGATGCACTATGCCCAGTACGTGCTCCTGGCACTGGGCTGCATCCTGCTGCTGGTCCCTGTCATCTACCAAATCCGGAGCCAAGTAGGTGCTGGCCAGAGCGTGGCCCTGTCTGACAGCCATTCGCTTGCTTGCTGGGGGAGAGGGGCTCAGGTCAGACCCCCTGGCTAACCGCAACCTGGACCCCACCTCCAGCAGCGGTCCTGCGCCTCTGCCAGAGTGGGAGTGCACTGCTGGGGGCTGCACTGCACGCTTGTGTCTTTTGCATGCCGCGTTGCCACTACTCTGCCTGTTCTGGAAGGCCCGGGACCCCCTCTTGAAGGGGCTGCAGGTGGATTTTGAGTAATGAGACCTGGTACTTGCATCATTCATTCATCAGGTCAGCACCCGGGGATGCCAGGCTCTGGTAGGGGCAAGAGGACAGCACTGGAGGAGACAGCTGAGGTCCCTGCCCTTGGGGATTGAGGGGGGATGGCATTCTAGCCGGGAGACAGATGAAAACCAAGCAAATCAGCAGAAAAGATAATTTCACCATGATAGGAAATGTGAGGGGCTAGAACCATGACGTCAGATAGAAGTGGAGCGTGACACTGGATGTGGTGGCTCATGCCTGTAATCCCAGCACTTTGGGAGGCTGAAGTGGGCGGATCACGAGGTTAGGAGATCGAGACCATCCTGGCCAACAAAGCAAAACCCCGTCTCTCCTAAAATACAAAAAATTAGCCAGGCATGGTAGCTCGCGCCTGTAATCCCAGCTACTCGGGAGGCTGAGGCAGGGGAATCACTTGAACTTGGGAAGCGGAGGTTGCAGTGAGCCAAGATCACACCACTGCTCTCCAGCCTGGTGACAGAGCAAGATTCTGTCTCAAAAAAAAAAAATAAATAAATAAAATACAGCATGAGCCACGTGTGAGGTTTTCAGTTTAAATTTTCTAATAGCCACTTAACAGCCAAAGGAAACAGGTGAAATTAATTTTAATTTTATTTAACCCAAATATATTCAAAGTCTTATCACTTCAACATGTAATCGGTGTAAAAGATATCAACATTTTTACAGTTTTTTTCTTTTTTTGCATGAAGTCTTTGCAATCCTGTGTGCGTTATACATGTGCATCAGGTCTCAGTTTGGTCCCATTTCAAGGGCTCACCAGCCATAAGCAGCTTCCAGACTAGACGGTGCATGTCTGGGGCGAGTGGGGACAAGGACAGATGGAGCTTCAGGAAGGCCTCTAGGAAGAGGTAGATAGTGAGCTTTGATGTGGAGGCCAGGGAGGCACTTGGCAAAGAGCCACAGGAGGAATGCTGCCAGGAGCAGCCAGTGCAAAGGCCCTGGGGCAGGGATGAGCAAGGCACATCAGAGGATCAGGCAGGGCCAGGGTGGCTGGCGGGGAGTGAGGGCAGGGACGGAGGTAGGAGGTGGTGTCTGAGAGTGGGCAGGCCAGGGCCCGCGAGGCCTTGTGGTGCAGACTGAGCAGTTTGGAACTTATTCTGGGGGTGACACAGCCCTTGGGGCCTTTTAAAGAGGGGAATCACTAGGTCAGCTGCTGGCTGGGATGGGTAGAAAGTCGGTGGCTCGAACAGGATGGGGCAGCTGCTATCAGGAGGGAATGGAAGTGGGGAAGAGTTTCAGACCTTCCGACGCGGGAGGAAGAGGGGTGATAACAGTGCCCTCCTTGCTTTGGGGTCATTTGTGTATTCATTCATGGCATTCACTGCCAGGCCCTTTGCACAGGTCTGGGGATACAGAAATGACCAGAACAGGAGGTCTGCAGCAAAGACAGGCAAGCTGGGCCTTTAGGCAAGCTACCCAGTCACACAAGGGCCAGAAGAGCATCATACAGCTCACGGGGCAGTGGAGACAGGGGAGCAGCTGCCGTGGTAAGGGAAGGGATGCCGCCCCCTGGCAGGGCGTCGGGAAGGGCTGTTTTTGGATGCAGACCAGAAAGCCACCCTCTGAGGTGGCCCCCACCTGCGTCGTCCCGGGGCCACAGGCCACGGCCTTCCGAGGGGCCCTGGGGCCACCCCACTGTCCTGCTGGTCTTGGCTCCTCTGCCGCACTTGCTTCTTTAGCTCTGGTGAACGATTCTCCTCTCCCCTTTCTCAGGGGAGGCTTGCGTGCTTCCATGCTTGCGTGCTGGGTGAGAATAACGCGTTCTTGGTTCTTCACCTTGGCTTTCAGACCTGAAACCCAACTTTCCTTCCAAATTCCTGTCCTCAGGGGGAAAAGGTTTCCACGGTGCGAGGTGGTGACCTGGACACCAGCTGTCATCATGTTGCTCCTCTAGTGTTTGAGCTCCCGATGAACAGTGACCATTGGGTCCAGCCAGCCCTTTTGGGTGCCCCCTTCTCTGTTACTGCCCCCCGGGGGGAGCCAGGGCCCAGCAGGGCTGTGACTTCAGCAAGCAGAAGGCAACTCCTTCCAGTTTCTAGACTGAATTATGTAGGGAGGAGAGAAGGAATCGGAGTACCTTCCCATGGCAGAGCATCAAGTGGGTGTCCACAGGCAAAGAGGCACAGCCACACAAGGGGGTCCCTGGGGACTGGCTAAGGGGCTGGGCCAAGAGAGGCCACAACAGCCTCACCCTCTGTCCCGTTCTTTCTCCCTCCAAATCATCCATCAGAATGGGGACAGGGAAGGAGGGTCAGGAAACACAGGATCTCTAGGCTCAGGCTGGGGTCCCCTTCCCTGCCACAGCCCCCACATCAGCGTCCCAGCCTCGAATCCAGTAAGAATGCCACGATCGGCAGTGTGGCCCCCTCCCTGCAGGTTTTACTGGAGGCCATGTAAGTGAAATTTATCCCGTTATGTGTGTTTTGATTTAGCAGGGCCTTATCAGTTTTTATGTAATTTGCCCTGATTCTTTAAAAAATCACATGCTGGTAAACTCAGCATATTTTAATTTCTCTTTAGAGAATTTTTTCTTCTTGAGCCAGGTATGGTGGCTCTTGCCTATAATCCCAGCTACTCGGGAGGCTGAGGCAGGAGCATCTCTTGAGCCCAGGAGTTGGAGGCTGCAGTGAGCCATCGCTCCATTGCACTCCAGCCCAACAACAGAGTGAGACCTTGTCTCAAAAATTAAAAAAAGAAAGAAATGTTTCTTCTCAAGTCATTCTTTAAAAAAAAAAAATCAAAAGCATTTTAACAGAACAGTCTGTTGGTTGTAAACAGCCCCAGCTCAGTCCACTGGCTGCTGGCCTCCAGGGCCTGTGTCCCCACCGTGCTTCCTCGCTGGGTTACCTTTTCAAGTGGCCGAGCCCTTTTCAGCTTGGCTTCTCCGCCTCCCAGGTGAGTTTCCCGAAAATGCTTGTACTCCATCTAACAGCAGCGGCTCCCCACATCTCCACCCCTGCAGGCGTTAAGGGTTGGTGGACTCTAAACCTCTGTACCTCTCCTGTTTCCTCTTTGCCTTTTGCAAATCAAAGAACCATGTACGACCTTTTTCATGTGGCTTCAACGTCAACTATAAATTAGCTTGGTTATCTTCTAGGAGAAATGCTATTTATTTTGGAGTAGTAGTAAAAAGGGCTCAAAGGATAAGGAGGCCATTCAGGCCTATTCTGAATCCCTGATGACATCAGCTCCCAAGGGCTCTGTGCTGCAGGAAGCAAAACTGTAGGTGGGTACCAGGTAACGCCGTGCGCCTCCCCGCCCCTTCCCACATCAAGTAGAATGCTGGCGGCTTCAAACACTTGGGGTCCTGCTCATTCCTTCAGCCTCGACTTCGCCTGGAGTATCTACAGACCGAAGATGCATATTTGTGTATTTCACTTTTGGAGAAACTACCCCTTCCTACGTTCTGAGTGAATAGCAGTTTCTTTGATTCCAGATGGGAACTGGTGTTCTATGGGCTGATGCCTATTTGCAAGGTCCTATTAGGAAGGCAGGAACAAGTCTTAGGCCTGCTGCTTCTCAAATCTCTTGTGCAGTAGACTCCCTTGGGGAAGTTTGCTAGAATGCAGATCCCTGGGCTGTCTTCTAGCCTCCTGGTATAGAATCATGGTAGAATCTGTATTTTAATGGGCCCTAATGAGATTCTGATGTCAAAACTATGTTTGAGAAACATTGACCTGAATCTGGGATGACTGGCTGGGCGTGGAGGCTCACATCTGTAATCCAGCACTTTGGGAGGCTGAGGCGGGTGGATCATTTGAGGTCAGGAGTTCGAGACTAGCCTGGCCAACATGGTGAAACCCTGTCTCTACTAAAAATACCAAAAAAAAAAAAAAAAAAAGACCAGGCACAGTGGCTCATGCCTATAATCCCTGCACTTCGGGAGGTTGAGGCAGGTGAATCATGAGGTCTGGAGTTTAAGACTAGCCTGACCAACACGGTGAAACCCCGTCTCTACTAAAGATATGAAAATTAGCTGGATGTGGTGGCGTGTATCTATAGTCCCAGCTACTCAGGAGGCTGAGGCAGGAGAATCACTTGAACCCGGGAGGTGGAGGTTGCTCTGAGCCGAGATCACAGCCACTGCACTCCAGCCTAGGCGACAGAGCGAGACTCCATCTAAAAATAAATAAATAAATAAAAATACAAAGAAATTAGCCAGGTATGGTGGTACACACCTGTAATCCCAGCTACTCAGGAAGCTGAGGCAGGAGAATTGCTTGAACTCAGCAGATGGAGGTTGCAGTGAGTCAAGATCGTGCCACTGCACTCCAGCCTGGGTGACAGAGCAAGACTCCATCTCCAAAAAATAAAAATAAAATAATAACTAACTAAATAAATAAATCTGGGGTGACTGGCCAAGAACAAAGAATGTAGGCATCAGTTGGACACCAACTGTATACTTGGGACTGGATCTGAGGGCAGGATTGCCTGATTGAGCACAAACAAAGAAACACAAGAGCCACAGAAGGGTGCCTGTTAAAGATGAATTTCTGGTAAGCAATTAATTTTTTTTTTTTTTTTGAGATGCAGTTTTGCTCTTGTTGCCCAGGCAGGAGTGCAATGACACGATCTTGGCTCACTGCAACCCCCACCTCCCAGGTTCAAGTGATTCTCCTGCTTCAGCCTCCTGAGAAGCTGGGATTACAGGCATGAGCCACCACGCCTGGCTGATTTTGTATTTTTAGTGGAGATGGGGTTTTCTCCATGTTGGTCAGGCTGGTCTCGAACTCCCGACCTCAGGTGATCCACCCACCTTGGCCTCCCGGAGTGCTGGGATCACAGGCATGAGCCACCGAGTCTGGCTGTGATGAAACTTTTTATTCGTGCAATGCTAGGACACACGTCTACTGGAAACCCATCTGTTGTTCACCTGAAATTCACATTGAACCAGGCGTCCTGATTTTCTGTGGCAGCCGTATCTGTCGGGGAAGTAGGCTGATGCCCCTGGAGGGTTCTCCATTTCCTTGGCCAGGCTCTGTAGGGCTGTGGCCTTGGGAGAGCCGTGGCCGGGGATGGTGTCCTTGCCAGGGGAGGTGCCAGGCAGAGCCGCAGGCCCTACAACTTAGGTGTGGGCAGAGGTGAGTCACGACAGTGGTGCCTCTGATAACAGCTGTTGTTTTAGTTTCTGCAAAATGTGCTGCCCTGGAGAGCTTCTGAGGCTGGGCCTACTTGTGTGAAAATAGCTTTCCAGGGAGCCACATTGTGGGGACACAAGGCACCAGCCCGCTCTTTGGGGCCAGTTGACTGCCTCCAGTTCATCTCACTTGCCAGGGCTGGGCAAGGAAACCAAAAGGAAGATGCCAAGGAGTGGGCAGGGCCAAAGGACGATGCCAAGGCATGGGCGTTGGCAGGCGCTGCCAGCCTGTGTCCCAGTCAAGCTCTGGGGGGCCCTTCCCGCCCATCTGGGAGTAGGGGGCAGGGGAGTGTTAACAGCAGGAGAGAACCCTTCCCGGGACAGGGTCCCCAGGCCCCTCTTTCCTTCCTCCCTCCCAGGATCCCTCCAGGACACTGTGCTGGGCACAGTTTGTCCCCATTGGTGTCCCTACTCCTTCCAGCTACTGCTCCCTTCTGCAGAAACTTGCTTGGGATTCTCAGGGTGCAGGGGTGGGGGCCCGTCCGCTGTAGAGCAGGGAGTTTTTCACTCTCAGCACAGATGGAGTGGCCAGGGCCCCAGGGCTGCACCTCCCTGGACATTACCAGGATGGCCTGTCATCTGCCCCCCAAACAAAACTGGGGTCTCCTCTTTATTTTGCTGACAGAATCCAATTTTTAGGTGATTAGAATGTGTTTGACTTAAAAAGACTCTCCTGCCCTGCCTTCTGGAAGGTCTCAGGCCCAGCCCAGCACCTCGATCCCCTAGGCATGGGTAACGGGGGGTGCCCAGCCCAGCACCCCAATCCCCTAGGCATGGGTAACGGGGGATGCAGTGTCTACCAGTGGCCGGCTTCAGCTTGGGGTAGGCACCTGGGTGGTGGCCCGTGGTCCCCCTGCAGGCCACTGCTGCCCCCTCTTGGGTCCTGTTCTGAGTCTCAGGCCTGAGTTCCTGGGCCCCACACCTTGCCTTGCCCTCTACCTGGATGTGGGGATAGCCCTGAGGGGCTGCCTGGCTTGGGAGAAGGGGAAGAAAGGATATTTTTATGTAAATAAGAAAAGACAGCCCCTCTGGGCCGATGAGGCCTGCTGTAGGCCAGGGGGCTTGGTAAACTGTGTGTCCACTGGTCTGTAGCCCTTCAGCTGGGTGCTTTTGTGCAGTGAACAGCCTGGACAACTGTCCAGGTACCCTTTCAGGGAGATGTTCCTGGACCTCTCTTAGCTTCTCACTGACCTTTCTCCCACTCGAAGTCCGTGTTCCTCAGTCAAACAAAAGTGGCAGGGAGGAGGAGATGGAGGAGGAAGAGGAGATGGAAGAGGAGGAGGAGGAGATGGAGGAGGAGGAGGAAACTGCTTCACCCTTTGGCACCTGGGGGCCAGAGGAGGAGGAGGAAGAGGGGTATGATGGAGAGGATGGGGAGAAGGGGGAGGAAGAGGAAGAGGAACCTGCTTCACCCTCTGGCACCTGAAGGCTTTGTTCTGTGTCTTCCTTGGGAAAGACCAGGGGTTCTCTGACAGCTTGGGGTGGTTTCCCCCTTCTACTTTTGAGTGAGACTTTCTCAAGTCACGGCTCTTTGGGCCCACATGGCTGAGGTCTAGCCACCCATGGGTGTCCTGTGCTGCCCCAATTGGTGGTGTGGGGGGCGGTGCTGGCCTCCCCGCTGCCTGGCTCGGTGCAGCAGGCCCTGACCCTCATGCCCGCGGTCTGCCCCAAGCGGGAGTTCGATTTTCCTACGCTGTGGTGAAGCCAGCACAGGTGGGTGGGGGTTTCCTGCCGCGGGCACGAGGGCAGGGCGGCCTCTGTTGCCCTGGGCACGGGGGGCAGGGGCTTAGCGGGATGAAGGCTCTCCTGACACGCTTATCATCAGCGTTATCCGTCCTTTTAATTTTTTTTGAGAAATGTTCTACAAGTGTCAAACTAGACAAATGACAGTATCCAGTTCCCCCCACCCAGGCCCAGCCGTTGCTCCGGCTGTCAGTGTTGAAGATTGTCAGCATTTCACATCCGTGGTTTCACTCATTTCCCGTGTGGCCCTCGCCCCTCCCCACGTCCCACCTCGCCCTGCGCCCCCCGAGCAACCACAGCCAGGACCTTGGCACGTGGATTTGTTTTCTCTGAATCTGCACGATTGGTTTTTGAGTGTGAGCAGAGCTGCGTCCCGCTGCTTGTATTGCTGTGTGGCTGGCTTTCCGCTCTCTGTTTTCTGTCCATGAGTGCTGTTCAGGCTGAATACTGTCCTGTGATGTTGGTTTAAAAGTGCAGGCCGGGTGTGGTGGCTCATGCCTGTAATCCCAGCACTTTGGGAGGCTGAGGTGAGAGGATCGCTTGAGCCCAGGAGTTCGAGACCAGCCTGGGCAACATAGTGAGACCTGATCTCTACCAAAAATGAAACAATTAGCTGGGCGTGGCGGTGGCACATGTCATTGTCCTAGCCACTTGGGAGGTTGAGGTGGGAGGATCACTTGAGCGCAGGAGTTCAAGGCACTGCAGCCTGGGTGGAGAGAGAGAGCCTATGTCTAAAAAATAAAACATAAATCAATACATAAACATGTGTTCTCCTCCTGAGGGAAGAGGCTGCCCAGCTGTCCCGTGCTGACTGCTGCACGCAGCCCCCCTTGCTCTGCCCCTCACTGTATTAAGTCTCTTTGGGCCTCAGTTTCTCCATCTCTAAAGGAGGTTGGAGAGGCCAGGCGGGTGCTGAGTGAGATGAAGAGGCCCTTGTGGGGGACATTCCAGGACTCTGGGTTACTCCAGCCTCTTCTCACCTCTGACAGCCTGGCGTCGGGGGTGGTGTCCGTGTTGGGGATGTGGGCACGGGGCCGGGGCGGGAACGAGGGTGGGGTTTGGTGACCCGGCGTGGGTGGTCACCCAGCTTTGTCTTTCTCCACAGGCTCCTGAGGACACCGTGAGCCAGCCAGGCCTGGCCACTGGGCCCGACCGGCCCCCCAGCCCCTACACCCCGCTTCTCCTAGACTCTCCCAGCGGACAGCCTCCCAGCCCCACAGCCTGAGCTTCCCCGCGGCCCGCGCCTGTTGGACCCCCGAACACATGCCCTGGCACATGCACACACGTGCGTGCAGGCATGTGCAGACACACTCAGGGACGGAGCTGCCACTGAAAGGACTTGCAGGGAGGGGTGCGTCGACAAGCACTGTTCTGGAACCTTCTCTCCATGTGGCCCACAGGCCTAACCACAGGGGCTGTGGGCGCTGCGTCCCCTTCTTTGGGTGAGCCTGGCCTGTCCCGTTCAACCACTGGGCCCAGGCTTCCTTCCCTTCAGGGAAGGAACACCGCCGCCGCGGTGTGCTGACTCCCCACGCAGGTGGGCCAGGCTGGGAGTGCTGGCTTCCTGTGCCAAATTCAGTGGGACTCAGGCCCTGGCCAAATTCAGCACTCAGGCCCTGGCCAGGAGCTTTGGCCTTGGTCCACCTGCCAGGCCAGGTGAAGCACCTTCACACAGGCCTCAGAAAACAACAGGGTGAGCACAAGATGCCCCGCGCAGCTGCCCAGGGGTCCCCACCCACCCTGGCCAGACTTCAGTCTCCCCAAGGTCTGCACAGGCACGGCATCGGGTGTCTGGCATCCTCTTCCTCCAGCCTAAACTGACATCATCCTATGGACTAAGCTGACCACTCCGTGGCCGAAGTGGCAGTGGGCTGTGCCCCTGAGATGCCCCCACCCCAGCAAAGGGTCCCTCAGATTTCAGGTGCCCAGGTTGACATGGAGATGCTGGGGGCCGTGCCTGCCAGGCGCTCCTGGACCCTGGGGGAAGCTTGTGACCCTTTCCTACTGGAAGAGAAATGAGTTTTATCATCTTTGAAAAATAATTCACTATTGAAGTAATAAACCTTAAAAAAAACTGGACACCTGCCTCTGTGACAGCCTTGTCCGCTGGGGTCTGTCGGGGGGTGGTCTCTGGGAGGTTCTGGGCTCTCCTTCTCCTGGTCAATAGCTCCTTCCCGGGGGCTGCCAAAAGCGTCTCTCCCAGGGCCAGGCTGCTGGCTTCCCTTCCCGTTGTTTGTAAATTTCAACCTTGTGCAGTTTTGAGTTTCGTATAAATTCTGCATGACTCCGTCCTTGTTTAGAAGCAGCAGGGTCTGCGTCTCCCTCCCACCTCGACCATGCCCACGGCCCCGAGTGCAGACGCCTTTGCCACTTTGGCACAGGGCCCTCTGGATGTGTTTCTGCGCATTTATCTACACATCCTGGGGCCCGTGGGGCGTGCCCCGTGCTGTTCTAGGCCTTTGCTTTTTGCTTGTTACATAAATGGTGAAGAAGAGAAGCGGGTAAGAGAACAGATCGGAGCCGTTTCTCCCATTGTCATCGTCACTGATGATTTAATATGAGCTCATTTCATCACTATTTAAATGTATCCGCTGGGATCTAACTAGGACAGCGAGAGGATACTCACTGCCAAACGTTTAAAAGAACACACCGACAAGCTCCTTTATGGTCAGAAACGTTATGCCCCTTTTCCCTTGAACTTGTATTTCCTTTCTTCTTCCCTCCTAAAATTTTATTTAAATTATATATATATATATATATGTA